ATGGTCATATTCGTTTGTCTTTCTACCCAAATAAATCTGATACATTAGATTTCATAATAGAGATTAAGAGGTGTCTGATCCATAGAATTTTTTTATTTGAAATCTAAGAAGTCCCATCTCCATTTTAGCATTAGCATCTAGTATAGCGGCCAATACATCCTGCTTATAGTCCGATGACATCAGGGAATGAAGACGTCGATCCCACACACATAACCTAAGTAGAAGCTTCGGCTCTATTCTGTTCAAGCTCAGAGCTTTATACACAGACTCCTGTTTCTCTAACTCAGTTGGGTATTGATTTTATGTCATTTTCACCAAAATCTGGTATCAAAAAGAGTTACCTGTATATTCTAATTTGGAAGGGTTTGATAAATTTGAACCCACGTTGTGTTTGCACATAAAAGATGCATGGGGTTAGCATCAATGATGTTGTTAGGTTCTTTATGTGTATGATGGGGCTGGTATGTCTGTTAGGCTTAGCAATGGTGGGAATTGGGAATTTTGAAGAGATGAAAGAAGACAATGATGGTGGGTGTGGGTCCCATATTTCCATGTGTTGGGTAGTAGAATTCAAATCGGGTATTAAAATTGGGGGTGGGTTTAGTGTGAGGTACCTACTGATATGGCAGCTGACATGAACAAATTAATAAAGGGATTAGGTCACACGGGGGAGGACGTTAGGGTTAAAGGCAATTCTAGAAAATTTGTTAACAGTAGGGGTGGATCTGAACGAAAAGTATAACGAAGGAAAAATTTAAACTATGTACTATAGTAGAAGGGTAATTTTGGACCTTTTCCCAATAAAGTACAGTGAAATCCCTAGAAATTAATCACCCAAATCACTGTAAAAACACAGTAAAATCACTGCATAATTGACCTGACAAAAACAAGAACCTTTTTTATTTAACAAAAGTAACATCCAGATAGAGAATGCTTGAGTGTGAACTGTAGAGATATAAAGTCTAGTTGATGGTGTTTGTACAGTATGCTATTTAACATGTACATTTCTAGAATGGTCTATTAGTCAACTTGGTTAAGACACATTAGTAGTTCTGTATATATCAGAAATATACTCCTGTACAGTGCAGTTATGCAAGAAAGAAGTAGAAATACAGTTTTTTCTCTCTCTCTACGATTCTCTATGTTACTCTCTGTATTTCATTCCTTCTCACTAGATCTTGCCTCCATGTCCATGGCAGATCTAGCTTGATTTTGACATGGTATCAGAGCAGGTCGATCTGTAATCTGAAGCTGCTGGTAGTTTTCTTCTTCTCAATTTCCCCAAATCGAGTTCTCGCTCCTTTGATTTTTTTCTAGCCCTAATTTCTGAATATTGACGAATTTTGCTGTGATGATGGGTGATTCTACACAAACTGGAGTCGGAGATTCACATGCAAACAGTCAATTGCTCGAGTGCAATGATCCGATGTTCTTTCATCCCTCAGACACGTCAGGGACTGCGCTGGTCCCTCAGCTGTTGGCCGGAACAGAGAACTACTCGGAATGGAGTCGTTCTATGAAAATGTCATTTTAGTGAAGAACAAAATAGGTTTCATTGATGGAACCTGTACTAGGGAGAAATATGAAGCAGATCCGTTCAAGTTGCACCAGTGGGATCGATGTAACGCCATTGTGCAGTCGTGGATCATGAGTTCAGTGGCTCAAGATCTTAGGAAAGGTATTGTTTACTCCTCAAATGCACAAAAGGTTTGGGAAGCCTTTAAGGAAAGGTTTGACAAAGTGAATGCAACTAAGGTATATCACATGAATAGAGAAATTGGAAGTCTGACTCAAGGAATATTGAATATCTCAATCTATTATTCAAGGTTGAATGATCTATGGGCTGAGTTTGAGTCGATTATACCATTTCCTGGGTGTGATTGTGTAAAATCTAGAGAATTTGTTGTTTTTTACGTCAACAAAAGTTGATGAAGTTTCTAATGGGGTTGAATGATACATATGCACAACAAAGGAGCCAAATCCTGATGATGAATCCTACGCCTACAATTGATCAGCCTTATTCAATATTGATCCAGGAAGAAAGTTAGAGATTGAGTGGGAGCTTGGGAACGCAAATTGGAATCCTAGGGACTGCACCTACAGATGGAGAATCCAGTGGTATAATATCGATCAATGCCTCTAATACAAGGCCTAGGAGGAATGGGAACATACAATGTGACTATTGCCATATAAAAGGTCACACAAAAGAGAACTGCTACAAGCTGATTGGTTATCCAACAGGGCCTAAGTTTAATAAAAACAATAGGAGAAGAGGAGTCTACAATGGTGCTCCAACAATGGCATACAATGCAAATGTGAAGGCATAAGAGGAGATATATACTACTGGGACAAAAGGCATGGGATAAATAGGAGGTTTAGCATTTGCACCTATCTTTACCCATGATCAATATCAATAGATACTTATGATGCTGGACAAGAACAGAGGATCAACTATAATAGAGATGGCAAATATGGCAGAGTCGACTGCAATGAGATTGCTAATATGGCAAGTAAATCCATTACTAACTATGGTTGTTGGATAATTGATTATGGAGCCTCAAATCATATAGCTTTCTTCTTGTATCTGTTTTCCCAATCATAATCCATACCCTCTAATTCTGTTTCCAATTCTGTACACTTACCTAATGGAGATAGTACTAAAATCACTCATTCAGGGTCTTGTTCCTTGCCCAATTCCTAAGTTCTAGACAATGTATTATATGTTTCACAATTCAAACATAATTTGTTGTCTGTCTCCAAGTACACTTAGGATTTAAAGTGTTTAGTAGCTTTTTATCCTGATTTCCGTCTGTTTTAGGACCTCTTCAGTGGCAAGGTGAAGGGGATTGGTAGTAAAAAGAATGGGCTGTACATTCTCAATCCTTACACACCTGTTGCTGCTCCTGTCTCCATGTGTTTGTCTTCATCTCTTCAAAATAACTCAAATGTTTTGTGGCATCAAAGACTTGGTCATGCACCACAGAATGTTTTACTGAAAATTCCTACAATTAGAAATCACTTGTCAAAATCTACTGATTGTAATTGTCCAATTTGTCCTTTAGCTAAATAAACTAGATTACCATTTCCTATTAGTACTTCTAAGTCTACTTCTGCATTTGAGTTGGTACATATGGATGTTTGGGGTCCATAAAGTCTATACTTATTGTGGCTTCAAATATTTTCTTACTCTAGTTGATGATTACTCTAGAATGACTTGGACCTTCTTCTTAAGAGTCAAAAGTGATGTTTTTGTTGTTCTGAATAATTTCCTTCATTTGATTGAAAAACAATTTTCCTCCAAAGTTAAAATATTTCGATCAGACAATGGTTATGAATTCTTTAATACAATTTGTTCCACTCTTTTCAAATCCAAAGGGATTATACATCAAAGTAGTTGTGTACACCCCCCAACAGAATGGGGTAGTGGAAAGGAAACACAAACATCTTCTTGAAGTTAGTAGAGCTTTAAGATTTCAATCCCACATTTCATTAAATTACTGGGGTGAGTGTATTATATCATTAACAGACTACCCAGTAGTGTTTTGAATGGAAAAACTCTTTATGAGTTGTTCCATGGTCATCCTCCTAACCTGCATCATATGAGAACTTTAGGATGTTTGTGTTATGCCACAAGACCAAATTACTGTGATAAATTTTCTGCCAAGTCTTGGCCTGCTATCTTCATGGGATACTCTTTACATCAAAAAGGTTATAGGCTCTATGACATTGAATCTGGGAATTTTTTTGTCAATAGAGATGTTGTGTTCAAAGAACATGTTTTCCTTTCCAAATTCCCCAGATCTCATTTCCTCCCTTCCAAAGCATCTCCTTCTTCTTATTTCCATCCTGAACCTTCTCTCAACCCCATGCCTATATCTTCCCTTAATTCAATTTCTTCTATTGAGTCTTCACCTTCACCTGTCTCCCTCGCTCCATCATTACCTACTGGTTCACCTGACATTATGCCAACCTCTCCTACCCCTTCTCCTACCTATGTCACTCCTGTTACTACTACTCTTGACCAACCTAGAAGATCAGGAAGGGCCACCAAACCTTCCATCTGGTTGACTGATTATGTACATCCTCCCTTACCCATTACTTCCTCTTCCTCTTCCTATCCTATTCAACAATTTGTTTCCTATTCTCACCTATTCTCACATTTTAGGTCATTCCTTGCTTCTTTTTCTTCTGATATTGAACCCTCCTATTTTTCTCAAGCTAGTAAGGATGTTAGGTGGGTCAAAGCCATATAACTGGAAATTGAGGCTCTTGAGTAAAACCACACATGGGAAGTAGTGGATTTGCCTTCTGGTAAAATTCCCATTGGGTGCAAATGGGTGTACAAAATTAAATATCATACAGATGGTTCAGTAGAAAGGTTCAAAGCCAGACTGGTTACTAAGGGCTACACACAACTAGAAGGTTTGGATTTCCATGATACTTTCTCCCATGTGGCCAAGCTTACTACAGTCAGGACTATAGTTGCTGCTGTAGCCCTTAAGGGCTGGCCTATTTTTCAAATGGATGTGCATAATGCCTTCCTCAATGGTGACCTTGAGGAAGAGGTCTACATGTCCCTACCACAAGGCTTTAGTAGCCAGGGGGAGCATAAAGTATGTAGGCTACTAAAGTCCTTATATGGTCTGAAACAAGCATCTAAGCAATGGAATTCGAAACTAACTCAAGCTCTCATAGAATCTGGTTTTACTCAAAGAAATTATGATTATTCACTATTTACCAAGACTGACAAATACAAGTTTGTGCTTGTACTGGTATATGTACATGATTAACTTGTAATAGGAAATGATCTAGAGGAGATTCAGAATGCAAAGGCTGCACTACACCAGAAATTCAAGTTAAAAGACGTAGGAGAGTTAAGATACTTCCTCGGAATAGAATTTGCAAGGTCTAAAGAGGGAATACTGATGTCAAAAAGGAAATATGCACTGGAAATGATCCCAGATGTGGGTTGAGCAGGTTCAAATCCTAAAGATACACCTATGGAGCAGAACATGAAGCTCACAAGTACAGAATTTGACAAAAGTATAAATGCTGGCACCTCTGATAAAACATTGGAAGATAGGGGGAGTTTTCAAAGGCTGATTGAAAAACTTTTGTATCTCACAATAAGTAGACCAGACATTTCTTATGCAGTTCAATGCCTAAGTCAATTTATGCATGCACCCAAGAGATCCTATTATGAGGAAACTCTACATATTGTTAGATACATAAAGAGACAACCAGGTCTAGGAATCCTTATGTCAAGCAAAGGGACACAACAGATTGAAGCTTACTGTGACTCTGATTAGGCATCTTGTCCCATGTCAAGGAAATCTGTGACTGGCTACTGTATTAAGCTAGGTGATTCATTGATCTCTTGGAAAGCAAAAAAATAGAGCACTATCTCTAGAAGTTCTGATGAAACAGAGTATAGAAGCATGACACACACAGTGACAGAGTTGGTTTGGCTTAATGGATTACTGAAAGAATTAAGAATGGATGTGCAGTTGCCAAATAGACTGTCACTTCATAAGAGAAAAAATACAAGAGGGACTGATTGAAACTTCTTACATACCAAGCCAACACCAACCAGTAGACATTTTGACAAAGCCTCTTGGCCATCATCAACATGCTTTTCCGTTGACCAAGTTGGGAATGAAAAATATCTTTCATTCTCAACTTGAGGGGGAGTGTTAAGATATAAAGTCTAGTTGAGGGTGTTGGTACAATATGCTATTTAACATGTACATTTCCAGAATGGTCTATTAGTCAACTTGGTTAAGATACATTAGTAGTTTTGTATATATCAGAAACATACTCCTGTACAGTGCAGTTATGTAAGAAAGAAATAGAAATACAGTTTTTTCTCTCTCTACGATTCTCTATGTTACTCTCTGTATTTCATTACTTCACACTAGATCTTGCCTCCATGTCGATGGCAGATCTAGCTTGATTTTTACATAAACAACTATGAAGAAGCAATCTCTCTATTTTCTCTCTATAATCCACAAAAGCTTCTGAATTTGACTTATTCGTTTTGAATTTTCATAGATTTTCTAAAGTATTGATTAGGGATATTTAAGTAAATCTTTGTTGTTGAGGTAGATACAAGTCGCTACAGTGAGTTTGTTTGTCGAAAGACCCATATGTTGGTGTGCGAACTTGTCCCACATTAATAGTGAAAAGATTCAAAGAATACATGTAAGATGTAGGAATCTCTTAATGAAGTGAGGCCTTTTGGGGAAAATCGAGTGGACTTGGCCTAATGCAGACAATATTACACTATATTAAGAGTATTTATGGGTTATTTTAGCCCAACAATTAGTATCAAAACACAGGTTCGGCTGGACGAGTATGGCGATGACAGAGTGACAGTGCAAGGCTCTCTTTTCTTACCCTTACGAACTTAAATATATACAAAAGAAGCTAATTGCAGGATTCACTTTCCATAAATACTCTGACAATGCTGGTTACACATAATAAATCTAAAAATTTGATCTGTGAATCGTGGTAATCAGTCACGTGAAACTTGCTTTGAGGGGAGACCCGTGTATCGTAGTAGTGGGTCACATGAAACTTAGTAGAGTGACATTGCGAGGCTCGGTTTCCTTAATCTTACGAGCTTAGAGACGCACAAAAAATGCTAGTTAAGAGCTTTGTTTACCATAAATACTCTGACAATGAGGATGACATCTAGTGAATCTCAGAAATAAACTCGTGGCACTTGGTACTTGGTTTGAGGGGGAGACCCGTGGATTGTGGTAGTGGACCATGTGGAACTTAGTTCGAGGTAGAGATTGTTATTAGGTGCGCGAACAAAGCCCCATATTAGAAGCTGAAAAGATTGGGAGCCTACATAAAAGGCTTATGAATCTCTTAATGGAGTGAGGCCTTAAGAAAGCCTGAGCTTAGCCCAATATTACGCTATATTAAAAGTATTTATAGGTTGTTTAAGTCCAATAATTGGTATCAGAGCTCAAGTTCAGTAGGATGAGTATGCCGATGAGTGATGATGCGGAGCTCAATTTCCTTACCCTTTAAGAGGTTAGAGACATACAGAAGGAGCTAGTTGTGGGCCATAAATACTCTGACAATATGGGTGGCATACGATGAATCTTGGAAATTGACCCGTAGATCATGGTAATCAGACACATAGAACTTGGTTCAAGGGGGAGACTCATAGATAGTGGTAGTAGTCCACGTGGAACTTAGTAGAGTGACGGTGCAAGGATCAGTTTCTTTATCCTTACAAGCTTAGGGATGCTAAGAAGAAGCTAGTTGCGGGCTTTGCTTACCATAATACCCTGACAATTATGTGGGTGGCATACAGTGAATCTCGAAATTTGACCCGTGGATCATGGTAATTGGGGCCACGTGAAAATTAGTTCGAGGGTGAGACCCGTGGATCGTGGTAGTGGGCCATGTGGAACTTAGTTCGATGGTGTGATATTGTTAGGTATGCGAACAAATTGGTGGCTGAAAAGATTAATAGCCTACAAAAAAAGTGTAAGATTCTCTTAATGGAGGGAAGCCTTTTGGAAAATCTGTGTGGGTTTGGCTCAAAGAGGACTATATCATACCATATTAAGAGTATTTGGGACTGTTTTAGCCAAATACCATATATGGGAATTAATGTCCTCGTTTTGGACAAATTGGATAGAGTGCTGTGGTTTTTTTTTGTTTTTTTTTTATTTTTATTAAAGTTGCCGAAACAACCATCTAAGTCGTTGTATTCAAAAAAGCGCAAGAGAGGGGCTAGACCTGAGCTCACAAAATACAATAACGGTGATGCAATCACCCCAATAGAAGGACAGGAGGTTTATATATATACACCCTCCTTCCTAAGACCTATGAACAAAATTAACTGACAAAGAAATTTGATTTTTCATACTTTGTTCTTAAACTAGGAGGTGGAATCTCAGAAGTTTAGTTGATGTAAAGGCTTTTCCTTTACGCGTTTTACTTCTCCAAGAAAATACATGTTTTTTATATTCAGAATTCAGAAAGACTAAAATCGTTCTGTTCTTTCTTTGCATGTTGCAGGAATCAAATTTTTTATTCATGGGAAGTCAGTGAGATTTTAATGAAGTCTTGATTTGAGCTATTTGAGTCGAATCTTCTCTTTGCTTCCTAAGGTTGTCATCGGTTACATGTTTCTACTTGCTAACAAAAGATAAAGCTATATTATAAAGTGTATCTTTAATGTCTTCAAGCTTTCCTTTAAATTTAACTGGAGCAGTTAAAGGAATTATTAAAGTAAATCCTGTTTGATTATTTCTCCCCATAAACAAGTGCACCGGTGTATAGCTGGTTCTTGTGTACGTTCTCGTCAGCTCATACTGTAAATTATTCAGTACATGAGATGAAAAAAGCAAAAGCTGCATTGTGAAGCTAATAGCTTAATTTTGGTTCAAGGTTCATATCACACAGTAAAATCTGGTTTACGTGTGTTTTGCATGCCTCTTTCTCACTGTATAGTGTATACTATTTGCTAGCATCTAATGCTTCCTTTTCCATGCAGAATGGAGAAACCACGTGTAGTTTAGTTTTCCAAATCAATCCACCCCCACACAATTTGTGTTTTAGATATGTATTTTTTGTTTTTTTCCTAATTAAAGCATGGTACCTGCCGTATGAGTCAAAATCTATCTCTAAAATACGTAAATCAAGATGGTGTCACAACCTAAAACCTAACCTGCCGTGATGACGCCTATCGTGATACTAGGCAAGTTGAAATTTCCAAAATACTTCCAACATATAACAGAAAATGAATTAAGTAATTTTTAAATAAGCAAATTTTTTATAAACAGGGTAAAACCAAAAATACATGTGCAGAAAATATCTCCCAAATCAGGGTGTCACTGAACCCGTGAGCATCTATAGATCATCAGTCTAGAAATGAAGTGTATATCAATTTTTGGATCTAAATACAACGAAAGAAAAGATAAGGAAGGCGAAGCAAGGACTGCGAACGCCAGACAGCTACCTCGATATCTTCAACGGTCAGCTATATGAAATATCAACCCCCTCCGCGTCCAGAAACTCCTAGATTTACGAAGTGCAGGGTGTAGCGTGAGTTCAACCAATTTAGCAAGTAACAGTAATAAATAAGGAAGTGAACGATAGTGACGAGCTACACAATTATAATTCATTTTCAGTAGTCTTAGCAATAAAAGTAGACATGCTTTCAAATACGGCAAATTAAGTCTATACATGCCAAGTTCAAGTAAAACCGGATAAAAATATCTCTCAAAAGTTTTCAAAGCGATGATATATGGCAACTATGTGCAACAATAATGAAATCATATATAGCCTTTGGGTAACAATCACTCAGTCCTCCCATTCACTCCAACCCCTCAATCACTCATTTCTCACAGTTACTTATTCCTCACGGTCACTCAGCACTCGTACTCACTAGGTACCCGCGCTCACTGAGGGTGTGTACAGATTCCGAATGGGCTCCTTCAACCAAAGCACTATATCAAGCCAATCATGGCATAAATCAACAAAATTTGTTACGACGTGAAGCCCGATCTTATAGATATCCTCACAATCATGCCTTCAGCATCACTTAGTAATCAATCTCTTCAATCTCTCGGGCTCTCAGAAATCATAAAAATCAGCCCAACAACAATGATATGATGTATCAACAAAAATAATAAAGACTGAGATATGATATGCGAGTAAAAATTGAGACTAGGTACAAATAGCATTTAGCAGGTAATTTCAATATTTAGCACCTCTATGGGTCCCAACAGTACCAAAACATATCCTAAACATGTTTTCTAAAATGATTTAGAGTCAAACTTCTACAACACATGGAGAGCATATAGCTAACAACAAGTTTATTCAACTTTCAGTTTTACGGAATGGACCAAGTCATAATTCCCACGGTGTACGCCCATGGCCCGTCACCTAGCATATGCATCATCTCCAAAACAATCACATAACACAAGATCCGAGGTTTTGTACCCTCAGAACCAGAGGGATTCTTGAGATAAGCTCCTTATGCCTTATTCGCCGCATCTGCGGCCTCACAGGTGCGGATGAATCTTCGCACCTGCGACCCCATATCATCTCATCCTTGACCGCTTCTGCGAGCTCACACCTGTAGTGCCCACTTCGCTGGTATGATCATACTAGCAGTAACAAAACATCAGCTGCTTCTCTAATTCAATTCCAAGTCCGTTAACCATCCGAAATCAACATCAAAAACACGAATTGCACATAGATTCAAGCCTAATGAACTTTGAAATTTCCAAATTCTACAAACGGCGTCAAAACCTATCAAATCACATCTGATTGACCT